TCGCTTAGGGTACTATTAGGAGAAAGGAAGTAAATTCAATTTATTGATTAGCCTTTGGTGCATTTTAAGGTCTTGTTTGGTGGCACTGAAAGAATTTCAAAGAAGACATTTTTCGTGCCATTATCAGCAGATTGTGAGAAAGGAGATTCTAGGAGAATTTCTTTCTTTCTTTTTTTTTTTAAACCCCTAATAAACTGGGTCTATGTAGAGGTCTGCAAGAAAGACAGAACCACTGATCATCTACAGGTGGCACTACAGCTACTCCTGTACAAATCAAAGTGAAACCAATCATCACATTCATTGCACATGATCATTGGTCTCAAATTCTCTGGACAAATCCAAATTCTGGCATTCTCATCTGGTTGAGAAGAAAGGGTCTGATCCTGAAAGCTTGCTGTATTTCCATCATCTATGGGTTCTTCTTCTCCATCTATGTGTTGGGAAAGCTCCAGAGGATACAAATTTTTAAGGGAATGGGTCTGTATTGAGCCATTACCCTTTTTTTAAACCTTAACCGAATGAATCAAGCCTTTGATCAGTTTCATGACCCTTCCAATGGGCCAAAATGGTCTTGTTTTTAACACCATACCATCTCGCTTGATGGTGTTTTAGAACAAAGACTTAGCCAACCCTACATGTCATTCTCTTAGGCTTATGAAGTCACTCTCATGCCACAGTTTCCAAAATTTCTCTAAGGTTTCTTCACAGGGACAAAGTGTATTTAACAACCTCGCTCGACCAGGCTGATCTAGTGCTTCCAGATCATCGCTATTCATTCTCATTATTAGTCCCTTGCCCACATTGGCACAAGGAGAGAATAGGCATTCAACTCCATGTCCTCTGAACTTATATAAGTCAGGGGGCGGTTGTTTTATAGCTCTTTTGATATCAGATAAAATCGTTAAAAGTTCAAAACAAAAAAACCTTACCTCCTTCCTATTGTCTTGTACAGGCAAATTTTTTACAGTCCTAATAGTACTTTCCCAAGCAGCCCCATACCAGGCTGAATAAAGTGGGGAAGGGGAATTGTACAATGCTTCAGATTGTAATGGCCAAATCTCTCCTTGCATCCATTAGCATTCCCTTATTCAGTATCTTTGATGCTACAATGAATGTTTTTACATAATTGGAGTATAGATGTGAGAGGAATTCCAAAGATGTTCGTGAATCGAATTAAGGCCGGTAAATATACTGGATACATTCATATCAAGGACAAGTTCAATGTGGACCGCTTTGATACTCATGTACATCTTCATCTCTTCTTCCTCCTTAAACCAGATATGACTGGTATAATCCATGCCAGTATGGAGAAAGGGTCCCACTAAATTTATGCAAGAATCAGGGAAGTCGGTTGTGTTGGGCACTGAATAAGCAGTGGCATTATACCTTCTACATTTGGTACAAGCTCTCACCGCTTTTTTGTAACTGGCTGTCTTATTTTATTTAGAGTGGTAGCTAGGCCTAAATGTTGACATTTTGCATGGTGGTCTTTTATTATCAAGCCTGTCGTAATGTTTTTTTTAACTAACAGAATGGGGTTTTGAACCTCGTGTATTTAATGATCCTCCCCTTAGACCGGATAATATAGGTGGGGTCCAAAAAGAGGTTCAACCTCTTTATCATGTTTGGTTAACACTTCTGCAGGATCCAATAAGTACTCCAACTCTTGTTGAAAGAATTCCCTTCGCATTGTTTTAAACAGGTGACCCCCTTCCTTGCCAGTGGTGATCCTCATCTCTATTCAGCAGTTTGTTTACAAACCTGAATGCACTAGAAGTCACATTGATCAACTTGTTTAGGCTAGAATAGCATTCCACTGGGACAACAGTTAAAGTTTCAGGTTCACTCCTTGTGAACAAATTCACATCAGGGAGTACACTTTTTTTTTTCTTTTTTTTTTTGGTCTTCAGAAAGACACTCAAGGTTATAGTTTGTCCAGTGCACCTCATCTTTGGCCTACTACTCAGGGCCAGTGTACCAATGTTGGAGTCTTTCTTTAAATTATTTCAAATTTATGGTGATATAATCAACGGTAGGAACATAGTTGAAGCTCAGTTCTAAGTTTACTCTGATTCTTACCATCGCAGGTATTTGAGTAATATGCTTCAATCTGTTGCAAGGAGATAGATTTTTGTTGGTAATAAATTTGGTTAGAATCCAAGACAGGACCACTTGAGCATCAGTGACTACATACACTTCTTTTAATGGAGTATCTTTTAAGGCCTTCAAGGAAGCGAAATATTTCAATCCAAGAAATACGGACAGGAGCTCCTAGATGGGGAAAATTTTTCTATGCATAGGTGCCATTTTCACTTTTGCAAACACTAGTGAAGATTGTCCCCCTTCTATGGCATATGCTGAATATCCATAGGCAGCTTTTGAAGCATCACAAGATGAAAACAATTTTACGGGCCACCCCTCATCTAAGACTCTTCTAAGGTATAAGATGGTATGTAACTCTGAAAGTCTCTTGCCAGAGCCTTTCAGTCCTTCCATATGTCTTCAAGAACAGTCGTATCAATCTAACTTTTGTTTCCAAAGTTCTCCTGCTAGTATATAGCTTCTCACTGTTACAGGCAAGAAAAGTGATAAGGGGTCAAAGATTTTGGAAGCTTCAGAAAGTATCTTTCTCTTTGTTGATGCCTCAACATTACATATACAGAAATAAAACCTTTATGAAGTCCTTGTCAGGGTTGTATCTGTACCCCAATACTTTGTCCCATCCCAATTTGAATCCAGACAAGTTTCCCTCTGCATTCATTATTTCTCTTAACTCAGCACAGTTTGAATTGCAGGACTGTATCTCAAAGTTACCCTCCTGCAGGCGCTCCTTAACTGAGGTGTATAAACTTGACAGGGCGTTGAGGTTATTACCAGTTTTTATCAAATTATCAACATAAAAATTTGAATTTAATGCCTGAATGTATTCGTCCTGTCAGCATGAAATTTCAGGACATAATTTAGTATAAAGTGTTTGCATTGAAACCAAATATAATGGTTGAATACCTGTAACAATGTAGATTCTCACCTTTCTATAGGAAAAAGCAAAACTGGTTTCGGCAATCCTCAGAAAATAGACCAATCATAAGTGTTTCTGGAGAAGCCATATTTAGGTTTCCAAATTCGAGCATCTCAGATTTATTTTCTGTATCACTAGTGATGACCTAGTCCTCAAATTGGAAATAGCAAGTCCTGGATTTTTCCCAACATGAGGGCTACAAGCCAGAGATATTTTCTATATCTGGTAAGTATATATTTCCATAGAAAAATGGCACCAAGGTTTTCCTTTTAAGTTTAACACAAGTTGATATTCTTTTTGTCACTGTGCAATGTACAATGTAATTGGACAGCAGTCCTTATGTGCACCAACACACACCTGGAAAAAAACCATGCACAATTTTGGATGAAGAAAAGTAATATTTAAAATACGTATGTTTAAAATTGTCAGTGTTCATTTTACGTAGAGCCTAGGCTCTACGTAAAATGAACACTGTATACGTATTTTAAAAAAACTTTCCTGCAAGTGCTTTGTCCTAGAACTAAAACGTCCTGAGAATAACAGTTCAAACAAATAATGCTTTTACTTTGGATGCATGCCATCTGTCTTTCATTATGCTATGTAGTGTCCTCCAAAGAGGATATCAAGCAGCCAATTGTTTTCTGGGCAACATTTTTTCAAATTTCTCTTGCTAGATCAATTATGACTGAATAATGAGTTTGAACCTCAATGGGTGCTCCATACTTGTCCCATATACCTTGTGCACTTACTAAATATGTGACTTGAACATAGTTTTCTAAATAGATTGTAAAGTTGTAGGTGATGTGATATTTAACCACTTGCACACTTCTATTATCAATTTTGTTATTGGGTTTTTTTTTTTTGTTACAAGTGCACATGCTTAAAACAATTAAGTCAACATCTAGCATGATTTAATATTTTAGTGTCAATTAGCAAAAGGCATGTTTGTTTATTGGCCTCGAGAACAATGGAATATCTCATTAGTAAAAAGGTGAGATCCAAACTTCATTAATGATAAATATATAAAGTCACATTGTTTTATACAGGGTGTAGCAGAAATACCTCCCACACAATAGTAAGACATTAGATGGCTGAAGACACCATTGCCACTAATGTTTTGTGGGAGGTATTTCTACCACGTACTGTATTCTAGAACAGATTCATGTTTGCAATGATTAACATTTAAAAAAAAAGAAGAAAAAAAGTATTTTACATTTATAAATATACAAAATAATTCGGTATCAGCAAGATCACTTATAAACGGTACCTTTTTCTAGGCTGTTATCCTTAAATTAATCTACTAAAAAGAACCTTTATGCCATCAGGTTCTTGTAACTGTATTTCCACTCTAAATGTAGTTTCACTGGTATTTTATTGGATAAAAATTACACTTTAGTTCCTAGTCGTCAAATGCTGTTATGTTGTATCTAACTAGTTGAAAAAATAAACTGTTTAACAGGTTATGAAATTTTGTTGTAACCATTACCCTCCCCCATACATGCATACAGGAGGAGGGAGAAATGCAAGTAAATACATGACTCATTAATATTAATTGGAATTCATTTTTGAGTGAAATTAAATGAGTGTAAATGTTTAATCAAATTGGCTTTTTTGGCTATAATAGACAAGCTGTTATGCTCTGCCCAAAGATGACTGAAATCTGTAAGAAAAAAAAAAAAAAAAGATCCGTACTTTTGTGTGACAAATTTTGTCATCTGCAGTACCAAATAAAGCTACATTCCTGATTAAATGATATCTTTCAGTTCTCCCTGACATAGTGCTTATTTGGTATGGTACCATCATTATTTTCCAAATAATTTTTCTCTGTGGTATGATAATCTCATTCCAGAAATGAAAAACTTCCTACCAGCATAAATATTCCAGATGGAACTTGTATTTGGTACATGAACATTACTTGGCTGGGAGAGGCACAAGATTTATCTTTGACTATATAAACCCTGTAACCATAAAAAATAAGGCTTACAGCCATATCACATTTAAACACCAATTACCGTATGATCACCGAAGTTAAGCAATGTTGAGTCTAGTCAGTGCCTAGATGGGTGACCACTTGGGCATACCAGCTGCCGTAAGTTTAATGGATAACAGCTTGGAATTAGAAATCTGAGAGCCGAGTTCTAATTCCAGTTATGTTCAGTATACTCACTTCTGCACAATTGTTCTTTATTTTTAAAAGTTATTTTTGATAAGCTGTAAAAAACAAATCAATCGGTAAAAAATGAAAACCTGTGTATCAAGATTACCCATTTCTTGTTAATATATAAGAAAATGCATAACCATTTTTAACCCAACCATTTGATTGTTTGGTTTTGTGACCTTGTTTTAATATCATTAAATAAAAAATTGAATTACCATTACATTCTTTGATGGAGAATCAAATTTGAAACCTTGGGGAATTTGTCCTGAATAATTGGCTAGGGTAACTTCTTTTTTTTCTCCCCCTCCCCACCCAGCCCAGTAAAAATACTAAATAGATATTTGTATTTTAAGTAAATGCTAAGGATGAAAATCTATATATAAGTTTTTATCTTCCCTTTTGTTTTTTTGTTTTTTAAAAAACAAAACTGAGTAAACTTCTATTTATTTATTTATATTTTATTTTTATAAAGTCATAAGTTTTCATCTTTTTTTTTTTTTTTCAGCCTCTGTAATTGGCATACAGCTTCACATACCAGTGACTGTCTTGTGTGACGACAAGCATTTATATACTTCTATTAAAACGCTGACACTGATTAAAAATTTGAAATGGGTTAAAAGAAAACTGACAGTGATCTGGTATTGACAGATGAAACGGTCGGATAATGGCTGCACTGAAAGACAGAGTGGATATCGATTAAGATCAATCGAAAGATACATGGAGTCTCATGAACCGATGTGTTGCAATGTTATTTTTACCAAATGTAGTTTACCTGATGTTGTATTCCAAACTGGTAACAAAATTTCCATCTCGTTTCTCCCAAACTTTTCCTTCATTTTATTCAAGTCTATGGTTTTTGTGCATTCACAACCATAAATTCTGTAAAGATGTCACACACTTGAAATTTTTTTTTTTTCTTTATTTTTTTTTACTTGTTCTTTTCTTAAATGCTTTCATAAAGACATAGTGCCATTGCTTTTCTTGATAAAATCTAAAAACATTTATGCTATTCAGAACAACAAAGGCAACTGGTGGTGGTGGGGGGAGTGTCAAAAGGACAGTTTTTACTTGACACCACTATTATTTTAATTACCATCACTCCTCGGCATTGTTTATTGTTTTAAAAAAAAGCAATGATTACAATTGTAATAAAACCTAAATATCTGATTAAAGTGGGCTTTTAACATTTTCTTTGTTCTTGAGAATTGACAACAAAAATAGTAAATGATATTTACTTATTATATTGTTTATTATTGGAATGGTTGGTAAAACATTGGCTAATTGCCAATTGATTCAAACTTTATAAAATGGTAAATAATAAGGATTTTCTTCTAGTTGTTCACATTTAAAAAATTTAGTAAATGTTAATAAATTTATGAATAAAAACTTGTTTTCATATTTATTTCTTTATAAATTGGTAAATGATAAATATTTATTGCATTTTTAAAATGTTTGGAAATATAAAAATTATTCTTGTAAAACAATCTAATAAATAGCATTTGATATTGTGAATTCTCAAGAACATAAATGGATAAATTCACTTTCATTATATTTTTAGGTTTTATTACAATTCTAATCATCACTTTTTAAAACAAACATTGTTGAGGAGTGATGATAGTTAAAATAATAGTGGTAACTAGGAAAAAAACAGCATTTTGACACTTTTTTTCTTTTGTTTGCAGGCATAAAGGTCCTAGTTTGCACCTTTACCTTTTTTCTTTTGTATTGTTTGTTTTTTTTTGCTTTTACAAAGTAAAAACCAAAGTCATAACATAATATTAAGATGATGGCCATAAGCTGAGAATATTAAAAATGTTTTTCAGTGCTGTTCCCAATACAATTTGGTTTCATTATATTCGATTTTCATTTCATAATTTTAAATAAGTTATAATTATTTAATACAAATATACAATCTGGGTTTATTTTTTCTACAGTATAACTTCTGTTTTCTTTTGCTTCTATCAGATCCTCTTTAATAATTTTGTCTTTTTTTTTTTTTTTAAGTAGGTAGGGTTGTGATATTTTGTTAACAATATTCAGAATGAATCTGAACCTATAACCAGATGAGTTAAAACTCTTTCATTTTCTTAAAGACAATCAAATATTATAGAAAAAATACTGAGGAAAGTTTTAAAGGCATGACCATATTTACTGATTATAATGTATGGAAGGTTTTCTTCTTTAAATATAGGATATCTTCATTTCAATTGAATTTTAAATAGCACAAGTTCTATTTCTTCAATCTCTATTCTACTGACTGACATTGTCATATATTTTTTTTAACATTATTAATTCCATCCATTAAAAAGAATGAGTAAATATATAATGTCTCCTTCAAGTAACAATACTGAAAGTACATTTTTTTTTATTTCTCCAGGTTTTTTAGTCTTGCACTTTGTAGCAGGCCTAATTTGAGGGTTTATTGGTGATTTGGGAATCAATTATACATAACTAATATTGAAAGCTAGTTATTTCTTAGTAAATTGTTTGATATAAATAGCAATAAAAAAAAAAAGGCTAATTAGGTTTCATTTGCTCATTTGTATTTATGGAATTTAGTTTGATTTTTAATTTGATATGTCAATCGCATTGTTGACTTAATCTTATGGCATCTGTTTGTAAAGTGAATGTACCAATGATTTTACATACATTAAAACAAGTAGTAAGATATATTTTGCTTTCTATTATTAATTAAAAAATTAAAAAAATGAAATAATTGTCATTAAATTTGTACCAACAATTAAAAAAAAAAAACAAAAAAAACACGAATGGAATTGCTAATTTCTTTTTTACAGATCTATAATGATTAATAAATGTGATTAAATCATTTCTTTTCACTAAGAATTTCTGGCATGAGGAGTTGTTGCTTCAAGGTTACATGGATTGACAGGCAACAGTCAATCTGGATAACCATCATTACAAGAGATATTTCCTTTATCTTTTTTTTCCTCTTTTCTCTCCCACGCCCCCCTGCTGTTTACTTATTGAGGATGGCCTTTGACTTTGATTTATAGATTATGTGTGAGATTAATAAAGTGTTCAATCCTGAATTGAGTAACTCAGACACAATGAAAACAGGATAAGCAATAACTGAAAGCAGTACTGCGGGGAATAAAACAAGAAATCTCTTGACATGGAATTAGACCAAGAATCATCTAGCAAATAAAGATTAAATAAAGTGTTAAGTTTGAAATTCCCTGATGGTTATTTGGATTTACAGGCACAAAAAGCACAATGGACAAAGCATTGTGAAAGTCACAATATAGAAATCATTTATATAATTTTTTGTTTTTTTTCTGACATTATCCTTCCATAAAAATATAAGCCTTGTCATTTTCATCTAAGTAAAATGTAAAGGATTATCATTCTGAACCTGTATTTTTAAGATTTCTATCTCTAAATAATTGTTACATTTTTCTGTACAAAATGTATATGCAAATGTATCAACTATTTTGGGACAAAGGTAGTATAAATATCAAATATAAACCTTTTTCCCATGACAGTTTTGTTACACTTCATATATATAAAAATATGTATGCAAATGTATCAGCTATTATGGGACAATATATAAATGTGTTTTGAATTTTTTTTTCCTATACATTTAAGAGTATAAAAAAACCTCAATTCATTTCTATAAAATAAACAGATTGGATTGTGTGTCTAATTTGTTTTTACAGGGAAATATCATATTACAAATGGAAATAATGATTTGCTTACTTTATAAATAAAATATTTATTAAAATATCTGACTAAAATTTTCTTTTCTTTTTCAATGTTTTAAACTTATTTTTTTCTCTGTTGTGTTGGTATTAAACTCTCCCCGAAGTGTTTTGGCATAAATTTCACATTGCTATAGATTTGATGATTTTAAATTGATCTTGAGTTGGAAACAAAGTCTTCCTTTTACTTTTTATAGACAGACCAACAGAAATACAGGTTAAGAAGGCATTTATTTGAACCGAAATAAAATATTGGTGCTCATAAAACAGGTTCAGAGAAACTGGGGGAAAGTTTTATTATAGCAACATAATAAACATCACACATTTGCAGAAAGTCAATTCGATTTCAGCAGCACATGATTTTTCCATTGTCAGTGAGCAACAAAAAAAAGTGAAAAAAAATTCTGTTGATAATGTCAAGATCGTTTTTTATGTCATGACTTAAGAATTTTGGTGTTGTTGGGCAACGGCATTTTTTTAATACATATTTCAAAGACAAAAAGAATTCATAGTTGCTACCTGAAATCTTTTATAAGATCAGCGTTCCGTTTAAATATGGTATTGCTTTTATGTCCATCATCTTTTTCATGTTGAGTTGTATATGGTCTATGTTAATTATGTTTTATGAATATGTCCTGAAAATGGTCTATTAGACCGAAATGTCCGACGTTGACATTAAACATTAAAACAGCGTAATCGCATATTAGGATTTTTGTTTGTTTTTTCAGTATATTTTTATGTTTTTGGGTGGTGAATATTTTTTTTTAATAGAAGGGAGATCACTTGTTCTTAAAAAATTCATATTTAAAATAGCAATTTACATTCAAAATTAAAAAGTTGATCTCGATAAACGTATTTAAGCAGATATTTTTTTAATTGCCAAATATGATTTTAAAATTAAAAAAGAAAAATTTTACTTAAAATATAACTATGTTAACATTGTGATATCTACAGATTTACATCTGGTTATCACAATGTTGGCATAGTTGTACATTCAAATTGTGTAATAATCAGTTCATACTCAACACCAGAAAATTATGTTGTACTAGCAGTGAGGGATAATATGTATATTTATTTATATATTTAATTTTTTATTTATTATATATATATATATATATATATATTTTATATATCACTTTTTCAAAATAAAAAAAAATAAAAGAACTCTGGTTCATAAATCTAATAGTTCTTTCCTATTATATATATATATATATAT